TGCGGGGCTCAATCCCAGGACCCTGGGATCATGACCTGAGCCGAAGGCAGAAGCTTAACGACTGAGCCACCCAGGCGCCCTATGAGGTTAATTTTTAATAAAGCTGTATTCGTTTTAATACATTTTTAAAGGCAGTTTGCTTTCATGTCCGGTTTTGAACCGAGACACTAATTTTTTTTCCAACTCCCTTTTGAAAGGTAGTTTCCATTACATTGGTCATAACACCTAGAATCCTCCCCCTTTGAATTACTGTGTTACTGTCTCTGTCAAATTAGTGAAGCATGTTTGTTTTCCGTCCTGCCCCTGCACCCCGCAGCTTGAATTTGGAGTGATTTACCACTGCACAGAGGAGCGGCTGTACACGGGCCGGAGGGGCCGGGGCGCCTTCTGCAATGGCCAGCGACTCCGGGTCTCCGGGGAGACAGGTGGGGCTTCATGCGGCTCGTCTCCGCTCCTTTCAGAGTGAGAAGTGTGAATGGAAAATGCCAAAATCACCATCCTGGGAGACGGTGCTGGAACTCCCCTGCTGAGGGTTCAAGTGCTTTAGGGACATTGCGTCCCTGAGGACCTGGAAAGCCAGCCAGTTCTGGGTCTTCATGTTTTTGTGGATGTGGCCAGGAGCTTTAAATAGTCTCGTTCTGTTTTACCCTCGAATATTTCAGCTTTCATGCTCAGAGAAACCCAGTCACCAGTATGGTTTGGTCTCTAGCAATCCAAGGACAAGGGCAGAGTCAGAAGCGTGCTTGGGCCCTCAGAGCGTCCAGGTAGACATCGGTCATCCCGACGTCCCCGGGGCAACGTCACCCAGATGCAGTCCGTGGCCCCCTGGGTGTGGATGGACTGCCATGGGTTCAGTTTCCATAAGATGGGTGGCCATGGGAATGAGTTGTGTAAATAAGTGGTGTTTCCACACACCACAGCGTTATTCCTAAACCAGAACCTCAAGGACATCCAGTAGCTTCTATAAAGCGACTGTGGTTATGTCAAACTGCGTATAACTGCGTATCGGTAACAATACGCCAGCTTAGGTTTTTCGGCGTCTTTTGGGCCTTTCTTTCACACCGATGATGTCAGTGGTATTTTTTCACATTGTGGGACAAGCACCGTACTGTAGGGGGGAGAAGTCAAAGACGAGCCCTAGCCTCGAAGCAGCTAGATGAGGAGAGACTTTGAAAGCTCCCTCATGTCCACGTTTGGGTCTAAAAAGGTATTAAGCACAGTTGCTGCGAACCTCTCACTTGCACATTTCCGCAGCAGGACATCATGAGGCATGCTCCCCCTGTCTTCATTCTTCCTTTTCTTTTCTGCCTTGTCTTCCTCCCTGGATGATACCTGTGTGTCTAGATGGCCTCAGAGGCAGTGAGAGGAGTACGGTGTGTCCCTGCCCTCCAGCTGCCCCTCAGTGAGTGAGGAGAGTGAGTTCTCCAGCTGTGATCTGCGGTCTGGCGAGAGCGTCGCCGATCAAGGGGCCCTGGGTGGGTGGGCAGACAGGAGCCCTGTGTTCCTAGAGCCGGCAGTCCAGCCCCGTGGGGAAACCAAGGAGGCTCCCCCAGGGGCCCCTGGGAGTCACACGCATGCCCAGGGGAAGGGGAAGATCACATGAGCCTTCAGACAGAGGTGGGACCAGCAGGACACGCTAACCAGTTACTGCTTCTGAGTCCCAGAGAGATTCCAGAACAGCCTCCAGCCCTGCCCCATGTCTCCCTCTCCCAGAAATGTTTTGTTTGGCTGTACAAAAAGTAGCATTAATTGTAGGTACACATGCCAAGAGGTAACCACTCAGGCCAAACTGTAAGTCAGTAGTGAGGAAGCATGTCATTAAACACGCTTACGTGAGCTTTGCTCTATATTCCATTCGGTTAGAACACTCAGCTCCATTCACACACACTTGGCTTCCTGGTCGGCTGCCTGTGTGGCTCAGTCATGCCTGACAACTTCACGTCCTCAGCAGGGCTCTCAGCCCCACGTGGGCAGGACCTTGGGATCACCTCTACATCTGGCCCGTCATAGGCCCTCTGGTCCTGCGCAAACCCTGCCACAAACCCCTTCTGCAGCACAGCCGGGGCTCCCGCCTGTCTCAAAACCGCCCATGTTCTGGAGCTCATTTTTTAAAAATTCTAAAAAGAGGCTGATGTGCTGTTTTCGGCGCTGGTCGTTTAGTACTTGCGGGGTGACGAGGTTTCTATGGAGAGGACAGAGCACACCCTGCGGCACAGTCGTTAGGTGTCATGCAGACCTGGTTGCGGTCCCGGTTCTGCCCCCCCTGCAGTGCTGTGAGCTGTCAGTTAGCCTCCCGAACCTTCGTCCTCACGTGCTGGGCGGGGTGACATGATGGGAACTGAGGACTAAATGCAGTTCTACGAGGGAAAGTGCTCAGTAAAGTCCCTGGTACGTGGTACCCAAAGATGAGAGTCGTTATCAAAGAAGAAACTTCAGTCTTTGCACGAGATCCTTAACGCCCATTGTTAAGGTTACGACACGTTTCTGGAGGAAACAGGACGCCCACCACCGATCCTTCTATCTCCTTTCCTTACTCCTTTTACACCTTTCCAGGAGGCTTTCACTTACAAAGTAAAAAGCAAACAGAACTACACTGGGTGGGGTAGAGGATTCAGTTGAGGCCAGAATTTCAGTTAGAACCTTTTTCTTCACATCCCACCATGCAGAATTTCAAACATATATAAGGTAGACAAAGTACAGTCAACCCTCGTGACTCACCATGTGTCCAATATTGTCAACTCAAGGCCGACCCTGATAGCGCCACCCAGTTCGCACCACCCCCAGCGAGTCCCTGATACAAATTCCAGACTAAGTATCACTTTCTAGTTAGTATTTCAATATGTATCTCTATAACACACATGATTCTTTGGAATGCATAATCACAATACCAATGACACACCCCTCTAAAAATCATCACTTACTCCTAAAGTCATTAAGTATCCAGTGTTCAAATTTCCAGTTGTCTCATCCTGTGGGAAACAGCCCTTCAAGGCCCCACCCTGAGTTCTCAGGGCTCCTTGTGGCTCTTGGGTCAGTCTTTGTTGCTAGGTCTTCTCAGTGGACAGAGCTAGGAAGTTGTCTTTAAATATAAAAAACATTATGAGTTCATACTGGTGTTTTCAGTTCATATTCATGACGACAAGTCTCTCTACCTAACTCTATGTCTCCTCTCCCTGTGCTGGAACCTGCATGCACGGTGACACCAGGAACGATAAATTCGGTAATGTCACACAGTCACTTTTCCTCTTTGTCCCACAACATACACCAGTTATAGATTCTAAATAAAAATACTGGCCTACTAACGACAAACCACTACCCAAAGCAGTGGGAAGGATGTTTTGTGTTGTCTTGTCTTTTAGAGTTCTTTCCGTCCTTAGCGAATGCCCCACAAGGGTCTGGAGTTGGACTGCTGTGAGAATCTCTGAAGCGGTTCTTTGTCCCCTTTGCCTATCCCACCAACTGAGGATAATCACTTAGATGCAGTTGTTTCACTTTGTTTTTAATTTAGGAGGACTAGTTTTTAAAAAATTGATTTTATTTTGTAATTATATAAGGTATTATATATAATTACGTGACGTATTATATAGTTTTATAATATATAATTATAAGAGGTACATTGTTCCAAAGTCGAATCTATAAAACCTAGTATATTTGAAGAGGTTTAGCTTCTGTCCTTGTCCTTTAGTCTCTTCCTCCCCCTGAGGAATACCATCTAAGAGGTGGTTATTGTTCCATTGTTTATTTTAGGTATGTGTATGTTTGTTTTTTTTTTTTTAAATAAGCAGTTGGTTTTTTCTTTTTTCTTTTTGCTTTTATTCTCTGTTTTGGTATAACTTTCATATTTAGAAAGGTTTATATTTTTGTTCCAGTGATTTCCTTTATATAAAGTTTTTCTGTACTATCCCTAGTCCTCTTTTTTGGGTTACTGTCTCTTGGTTCCCTATTCTCAGTAGTATTTATGTTAGCTTGTAACCTCTTCTTCCCCCTCCTCATATACTCCAGTATATGATTAAAGCACAATAGCCTTTTACTCTCAGTTACGACAAGGCAGTTGGCTAGCTCATCCTACTAGTCACACCCTCTCCTTGTTACCTTTCCACCTTTGGTTGGTTGTGCTGTATGTGTGTTGGTTGGCAGGGCAACCAGCCACATGTGTGAAGCTCTCACCCTAGAATTATCGGTTAGTGGGTAGTCTTGGTTCCACAAATAAATTAGATTTACTACCCCCCACCAGCCCTTTATGTTGATGTATCTCCAGTCGTTTTGGTTGTGTGAAGCTCAAGCTCATTCACCAGTACAGCATTTCTCAAACTTTTTGATCTTAGGACCAATACATTTATACTAATGAAAAAATTACTGAAGACCCCCAAAGAGCTTTCATTTATATAAGTTATCTGTTGGTATTTATGCATTTGAAACTTAAACAGAAACTTTTAAAATAAGCAACTCATTACATGTTAACATGAATAATATATATCTATTTTTTTAATGAGAAACCATATTTTCCCAAACAGTTTTTCATGAGTAGCCTTGTTTTACATTTTCTCCAAATCCCTTTATAATGTCTGGCTTAAGAGAAGACAACTGGATTCTCATATCTGCTTCTATATTCAGTCTATTGTAAGGTATTATCTTGATGTATGAAGAATATCGGGTCTTACACAGATTAATAGTTGGAAAAGGGACGAGTGAGGAATATTTTAACAGACTTTTCAGATAATTGAGGATATTCTTTGATGCCTCACCCAAACTCAAGAAGTGGGGTGGTTTCTTAAAGGTTAGTTGCAGTGTGAAATCTAATGACATATCAATGAATTTTTTTGTACCCTGTGACTGTGAAATCCATTGGGCAGTCTCCTACTTTGAATGGATCTTTTGCTCATGGATGACTTTGTAACATCATGCATTGGTCATTTGGAAAATATGGGTTTGCTGAGATTTTCAGGGTCTTTTAAATGTTGACCTATTGCATCTTAAAATGCTAAGAAGTCATATTCATTAGTATCACCACTCTTATGCGAAATCTTTAAGTGTTGGGAAGGTGTCAAGCTTTTGGTGGTAGATACAAGTCTTCCCAAATTCTAATTTCCACTTGAAAGCTTGAATTTTATCATTGGCAACCTTAGCAATTGAAGTGATGGGCTCATTTCTTTCATTTTCAAGAAAATGTCTTCCAAATACCCAGTTCTGAATCTGTATAGCTTATCTAAGCCCTCCATGTGTACTTCCCACCTCATCACACAGAATATTGAAAAGACGTGTGCTTAGGCTTCAAGACAATACAATTCGTAATATTTGCAGCTTCTTCATTCTGGAGTAAAACGGACACATTTTCCCCCAGAATGTGAGTGTAGCAGAGAAGACTGCATTGACCACCAGAACCGGGGTGTCCTGCCTTGCTTTATCTACTCTGCGCAAGTGTTAATACCATGAAAAAGGCAAATAATACTTTAGTTTAACTTCACAGATTCCTGAAAGAGGCTCAGGGACCACACTCCGAGAACTTCCTCCAATTGGTCTCTCAGGAAGACCTCCTGGGAATAATAATAACAATCCTTCCCTGTGTTCTTACGTGTCCATAACAGCTTATCAGTGGCCTTTATACTTGGAAATCCATTCTTCTTGTAATAAAACACATGGCTCACATTTTCTTGTGTTGACAGTCAAGTTGTCTCAGTCATCTTCTGGCATAACCTTGTTGTTGAAAAGTCTGAAGACAGTTTCATTTTCTTTCCCTTGTAAGGGACTTCAGTTTTCTGCTTGAATGCCCAAAGGATATTTTTTTCTCTTTCTTTAGAGTACAGTAATTTTAATAGAGTATATCTCAGTGTTCTTTGTTTTCAGTTTCCTAGGCACATCATGGCTCACCATTTCTTTCTTCTTTTTTTTTTTTAAAGGTGTCATGGTACACCATTTCAGTATTCAATTTCAAGACTTTTTTTTTTAACTTTCAGAAGAATTTTCTTGAATTATAGTTTTTAGTATTTGTTCATTTCCAAATTCTTTTGTTTTTGTCTTCTGGGTCTTCTATTATACGGATGTTGGATCTTCTCTGCTTATCTTTTCTATTTGTCACTTTCACTTTAATCCTTTTTACCAGTTCCACCAATTTTTTTTTTTGCCCTTCATTTCTTATAAAGCACAATCTATTTTGTTTATTTATTCTTTGTCCTTCAGTTTAGTCTTATTTTCTGAAATATTTTCTTTTCCAAGTCTTCCTAAGTTCTGTCCCCTCCACTTTCTGGTTAGGCTATTTTTTAATGTATTTCTTTCTTTCTTTCTTTCTTTCATTCTTTCTTTCTTTTATATAAAAGTACTTCTGTTTTGTGGACAAATCTTTCTTTCAATCCTTGATTGACTGGAGAGATGTTGTTCTTCTCCTTATTCTTTTTTTTTCCCCATGTAAGTGTGTGTGAGACTCACCCATCATTCTTTTTTTTTTTAAGATTTTATTTATTTATTTGACAGAGAGAGACACAGCAAGAGCAGGAACACAAGCAGGGGGAGTGGGAAAGGGAGAAGGAGGCTTCCCGTGGAGCAGGGAGCCCGACGCGGGGCTCAATCCCAGGACGCTGGGATCATGACCCAAGCCAAAGGCAGATGCTTAACGACTGAGCCACCCAGGCGCCCCACCCATAATTCTTTTTAATTATTTATTTCTACTTGAAATCTGTATTCCTGAAATTGGGAGGAGCTTGTGGAGAGTGGGGGTGGGGGCGAGTTCGGGACATTTTTGGTATTTTTTTCTAGCTCTGGAATTTGAAGTTTACTCCCATGTGTTTCTGTCCAGTGCTGTATTCTTCCCCTAAGAGGTCCTTAGAAGTCAGTTATGAGAGATCGTAGGGCTGGTGGCTCCCTCCCTTCAGCCCTGACCATGCACCCTAGTGCCACGGACTCATGAACTGGGGTGTGCGTGGCCTCTCTCCGTGTGAGCTTCTCACATTGGCCCACGCTGGTTTCCAGGGAGTGGCTGTTGGTGATTTTGAGGTTCTCCTGTTCTGGCGTGTGCAGCAGATGCTCAGTGCTTCTCTGTTCCTCCTGATGACACATGACCTTGTAGCTGTTGGAGGTTTCCCCCACCCACTTGTGTTTTGTGGTTTGGATATACTTTGTAGATGTAGTTTCTTTCGTAGGTGGTGTCTGCAGTTTTGCGTTTTTGCTCTCGTAGTTGTTCTGTTTTTATCAGAGGGGATTTGGAGAAGTTAAAAACTATGTGGCCATTATAGAGGTTTCCAATTCTTCACCAGAATTCTAAACAATACTTTTTTTCCCTCAAATTACTTGTTTATTAAGAACAAGTTTTAAAATATTTTAAAATATTGAACTGAAAGTCAAATACCATAAAATTAACCATTTTATTTTATTTTTAGAGAGAGAGAGCGTGTGGGGGAAGGGGAGGGCAGAGGGAGAGAGAGAATCTTAAAAGCAGGCTCCACGCCCAGCATGGAGCCCGATGCAGGACCCGATCTCACAACCCGGAGATCACGACCTGAGCCAAAATCAAGCGTCAGACGCTTAACCAGCTGAGCCACCTAGGTGCCCCTAAAATTAACCATTTTAGAGTGAGCCGTTCACTGGTAATTAGTGCATTCACAATGCTGCACATTCACTTGGGGCTTCAAGTTCTAACCCTGTGCCCACTGAGCACCTTTTCCCCACACTCTGTCTCTCCCCTGGCCCCCACCAAACCATCAACCTTCCATCTGTCTAGTACTTATGGTTTTTTTTTTTTTTCTAGTACTTATGTTTTTAAGTTAAATCGAATTAAATTTTATTTTCATATGAGTAGCTGTTAATGGTCTATAAGAAGTCTGAAAGAATTAGGACATGTGTGTAAAAATACCCACTGGTGTAAGGGCCGTCACGGGGGCTGTGTGTTCAGCAAAAGCAGTTTGTGTTCATAGGGGGTGTTTCCCAGACGTTAAAGCATGATCAACTCCTTTTCCATGAGTACATATTTTGGTGTCTACAAATGACTTCTTCTCTTACCTTTAAGTTGTAAAATTTCTCTTAAGACAACATTATTCTTTGATACTTGAGGTATTTTAACCTTGCTCAGCCAGAACAAGGGTTTTCAAACTGTTGGAAGTCCCTATTAATGGACGATTTTTTTCATCCTAAAATCTGTTTGTTGAAAAAAATATACAGAGATGCCCTACTTCAAAATTTTTGGATTTTTTTTATTGTGGCAAAATATATATAACATAAAATTTGTCATTTAAAATGTGTAATTTTGGGTGCGCCTGGGTGGCTCAGTCATTAAGTGTCTGCCTTCAGCTCAGGTCATGATCCCAGGGTCCTGGGATCGAGCCCCGCATCGGGCTCCCTGCTTGACAGGAAGCCTGCTTCTCCCTCTCCCACTTCTCCTGCTTGTGTTCCCTCTCTCGCGTTCTCTCTCTCTTTCAAATAAATAAAATAAAATCTTTAAAAAAATAAATAAAATGTGTAATTTAGTGTGCCTGGGTGGCTCAGTTGGTTAAGCAACTGCCTTCGACTCAGGTCATGAT